GATTTACATTTCCACTCTCTGGCAATAACCTACTGGGAATTTTGGGCAGGGAAAAAAAAAAAAAGCAACAAAACAAAAAATGAAAAAATTCCACAGTGAGTGTACTTGGTATGTGATACCACCCAGGATGAATTTTATTCATATAGGAGACAGATGAAGTATTCAAGTTCCATTAAGGAAGAATGTTTAGAATGCTTCTAATATCTTTCTAAAGTCATGACTGAGCTGAAGAACAGGCCTGAAAGTTACAGGTATGGAAAGGAGAATCTCTTCTCCTGCCAGCTATTAGGCAGGGAATTGAAATCCTTGCTACTACCTCAGGATAATTTATAGATCAGCAGCTTTGTCATCATCTGGGAACTTGTTAGAAATGCAGAATATCAGACCTAACCTTTGTCCTCCAAATCTCTAGGTGATTTCCGTGCACATTAATGTTTTAAAAGCACTGTTCTAAGCACTCTATATTCTAAACAGGTATGGGCTATTTTCTTGAAAATATTCAAATGGTACTTCCATAAAAAGGTCTTAGCATAACTCACAGACAGCTATGTATGTTAACCTAACCAGAGGCTCCATCAAAAGTATTCCCAAGGGTAAAACTTATTTACTATTAAATTATCTTAAGTTCTCCAGCAAAGTATATGGTGTAAACTTCCTAGGCGTTTCCTTCTAAATTACCCAATGCGACTTGTATTCACCTGGTCTAATCGTTCTCCAAGTGAACAAAAACCTGATTTTACAAGCCAGTGGAGCAAAGTCTCTCTTTGGCTAGAAGAATGAGTCTCAGAGAGTGTGTTTTATTTCTTCATTAGTGTGCCGTCACAGTGAGCGATCACTAAATGCTGGGCTGCATAAGATTGCTGGGGTTAAAGACAGCATAATGAAACAAAGAAGGTGCCTGATTATCATGGCTGTCAGCACAAGGGAATTGGGTTTGTCACCTGGCTTAACCAACTGGTAAGAACTGATTAGAGGCTGGAATCAGTTTGAAAGGATCCCTGATGTTTATGTTCCTTTCCATCCCCACATCTTGTCAAGAGAATCCGATAAAGCTGGGGGCAGGGTGCGAGCAGGGAGGGTTATTTTGTGGGTTATCTGAACAAGAGGGTCTTTGAGAAACTCCCACTATCATGTCTATTGCAATGTCTACTACAGTTCTGTCCAACAAACTTTCTGTGATGCTAGAAATATTCTCTGGCTGTCCAACATAGTCATCGCTAGCCACATGTGGCTACTGCAGCATGCTTAAATGCTTAAATAAGAATCTGAATTTAATTGAATGCTAATGACTTTAATTTTTTTGGTTTTTTGTTTTTTGAGTTGGAGTCTCACATTGTAGCCCAGGCTGGAGTGCAGTGGCACACTCACGGCCATCCCAGCGTTGACTTGCGCTGGGCTCTGGCCAGCAAAATGACTACTGTATTGGACAACACAGGTCCAGTATGATTAATAGGAAGGGGGAAATCTAGAGAGAGAGAGTCCTAGACTAACAGTTTCATTCTGTTGCCTGACTTACTACTATGCCTATTAGCAAAGTATGGTCACTTTCCTGATTAGCTCTATCTCAGAGAAGGTATTAAGAGATGTATGTAGTTAATGTTTAAGAAGTGTAGTTCTACTGGGCGTGGTAGCCTATGCCTGTAATCCCACACTTTGGGAGGTGAAGATGAGAGGATTGCCTGAGCCCACAGGTTCAAGACCAGCCTGGGCAACTTGGTAAGACCTCATCTCTACAATAAATAAAAAAATCACTTGGACATGGTGGCATGCACCTGTGGTTCCAGCTACTTGGAAGGCTAAGGCAGAAGGATCGCCTGAGTCCAGCAGGTCAAGACTGTAGTGGCTGTGAGCATGCCACTGCTCTCCAACCTGGACAACAGAGTGAGATACTCCGACACACACACACACACACACACACACACACACACACACACACACACACACAGAGAGAGAGAGAGAATTATAATTGTAGTTCTGTAGAAGTGACCTCAACCTTAACAGCACAATAACATTAGCAGGCCAACTTTTGGAAATTATTGATGCCTGAGTCCTACCCCCTAGAGATCCTGGGATACAGGGAAGCCATTGGGTAATTTAATTATGCAGTCAAGGGTGAAAATCACTGATAGAGAGCAGTGAGATGCATTGTAAACTTGCTGTGCGGATAGTTTGGGGAAGGAGGTGATGAGTTGGGGATAAAAAAGGAAGAGAACAGACATTTATTAGGTCCTTACTATGTGCCAGACTTTTGCAAATATTTTCTTATTTAATTCTTAAACAAGTCTAGAGATAGATGGTGAGAATTCCATTTTGCAGATGAGGAAATTGGGACTTGGAGAGATAAAAAACCCCCTCAACGTCATAAACTTGGCTAGTGATTAGATCCAAGGTTATCTGACTGGTGTGGTGGTGGTTGTTGTCATCAGCACTTCATTTCCTCTTAACTGAAGCACTGTGAAATAATGTACAAGACCTTGAAATAGTGAAGTGCAGGAGAACAGTTCCAAGGCAGGAGAAAAAGATCACCTAGTGAGTTGGTATTCTCATGTTTTATCAGTGATACGAAAAGCCACCAGCCTTCCTCCCTTCACCTTGTTGAAAACAATCTCTGAAAAATGCAAAAAATTGTTTTAATTTTTAAACTTTTTGGTCCATTCATATGCTAAAATCAATATTTTCTTTTTTTTTCTATAATATCATCAGGATTGAGCTAATGATTTTTTTCCTACAGAAAGGTAAAATCCCAAGGGCTCAACAACTACCTCCTTATTACACATATGGCAAATATTCCAGGAACACAGGCATATATGGCCCTTTTGGCAGGTTCCCTAAATTCAAGTGTTGCAAGATTTAGTAATTCAGTGCTTGGCACATGGTCCTCTAGAATGCTGGACAGCAGGTCAGAATCACCAGACTGAAAAACATCTGGGAGAAAGAGCCAGGCCCTACTGCCATCAAAAATATATACTGCAACATTCATAACACCATGAAGCCTCAACCTGGAAAAGGTAGGGGGTGAATGTAGAAGGCAATGATCGGAATGCCAGACTGAAATACTGCCCCTTGAGTTTAGTGGTGGGTGTTGATAGAGGCAGGGAATTTATTATTAAATGAATCACACAAAATGGATCATAGTATAAAATTATCTATATTGGGAAAGAAAAGGTTGGAAGTGTGGCAGGTCAAATAAACGTGGCCACCTTGCCTATTTATGGTTAATCTGACCTTAGTATTCTACCTAACTCTGAATGTTTACACATGACCTGGGAGAGCCAGCAAGAGAACCTTCCAGTAAATAGAAACTATATGAGCCTTCAGGTTGTTCAGCTCTGTCCCAGGTGGGGGTGTGCACTTGGGCATGTTCTTTCACATCTCTGAGCATGCAGTTTTCTTGTCTACAAAATGAAGACAATGCTTACATTACAGATTGGTTATAACTTGGACCCTGTGATCAGATTTATTGAAAGTACTGACTAATTACCTGGGTATAATTATAAAATTGCCATCATCATTATTATTATTGTCTTTTCTTATAAAAGAAATTCCAACAGTTATGGCAGTTTTGGTACAGATTTGGGATGTACCTGGAATCTTTCTCCACTCCTTTTAAAGATGGGACTTCAGCCGGGCTCGGTGGCTCAGCCTGTAATCCCACGCCTTTGGGAGGCTGAGGTGAGTGGATTGCCTGAGCCCGCGGGTTTGAGACCCGCCTGGGCAGGCGAGACCTCATCTCTACAATAAATCAAAAAATTAGCCGGGTGTGGTACCGCGTGCCTGTAATTCTGGCTACTCGGAAGGCTGAGGCGGAAGGATCGCCGGAGCCCAGCAGGTGGAGGCTGCGGTGGCCGGGAGCGGCCACTGCACTCCAGTCTAGGCGACAGAGAGAGACTCCAACTCAAAAAAAAAAAAGATGGGACTTCCACTGGTATTTGCAGTGATGTTGGCTCCAGGCCCGCCAAGATGGAGTTTGTAGTAGTTAGAAACCAAAATAATGAAGTCATAATGATAGTAAAAAGCCAAAATATATCAAGTAGCATCATCTTATATATTTGACCTAGCATATAGACAGCATGAGAGTGTTGAATACCAGCAGCCATAAGAGAGTTATGATTATTATCTCTGTACTACAGGGGAGGAAACTGAGACTTAAGAGGTTCAGTAGTTACCCAGCTACTCAACAGCGGACTGGGAAACAAATCCAAAATCTGTGGAAGGTCTGTGAGCCAAGATCTGTGGAAGATCTGTGGGCTGCCCCTCAAAGCACAGATTCCCCTAATGGAAATACAAAGGTTGAATGTCTAGGCCCACTGCTCCTGGCTCTGGGCAAGGTCATAGACATTAGAGGGTCTGTGAAGATTAGAGTGTACATGAAAGGAAGGGCACCACCTAGGACCACTGTCCATATAAAGCACGAGAAGAGATTTCTTGACTCCTGTCTTCATACCATGGTTGCCAGCCTCGTCCATTCATTAACCCAGCATTTACTAAGTGCCTACCATTAAACAAGAATTTATAAGGATCTGGGCCTAAGTGTTATGAATACAAAACTATGAAGAGAGGAGGAAGAGGTGCAGTGACAACACAAGCGATGATCTCAGTGCACAATGAGCTGCCCTTTGACGGACAGAAACCACATTCCCAAACTCTGTCGTCTACCTGTTTCTCCTGCAGTTGTCAAGCTTCCCTGAGTCCTCAATGCAGTGGTAAAGCCATTTATAAATTCCACTCTCAGCTCTAATTACACTGTCAGACAACCTCTGAACACTCAATCTCTTCTCCACCAAGTAGTCTGTCGGCAGCTGTGCACTTTGAAGGCAACCAGAAGCGGTAAAAAAGCCATTCTTTGTATAAGCATTTCCCCTGCTATGATTGAGAAAGGACGCATGTTTGATCTAATTTCCCCTTGCATGATTATCCTGGGAAAAGACCTGGCAGTGCCCTGCTAGGCGGTAATGAAAGCTGTTGGCTTCGCAGAAACAGGAGACAAGCGCACAACTTACGGGTGCAGGGCATAGAGGCAGCATCGTTGTCGGCTCTGAAAAAGCCTCGGTCACAGGTGCATGAGGTGGCTCCTTCCCAGACAGAGTAGCTGTGGGGTGGGCACTTGGCACAGGTGGCATCCGTGGAAAGAGCCTTGTAATATCCAATTTTGCAAGCTGCAGGCAAAAAAAAAACAAATATAAACTTCTGTGAATACTGCAAAGCAAATTGCAAACTCACCCCCCCTTATTCAGAAGAAGGGAGACATTCTTGCTAACCGTTCTGATCATGTGGTTTGAGAAGAAGGTAAAGCAATCCAAAACTTTAATTGATGACAATCACTCTTTAAGAGTCATTAACATTCCTAGTCAGGTGACAAGGAGTCCTATGGAAGAAATTTTCTTCGAACTGGTGATAACAAGCAAAATCGGAGCTGAGGTTTACTGGATGCCTTTCTATGTGCCAGAGTCCCTTCATATGCATATTATTTGATTCTTTACAGCACTTCTTTTCCATAGGCATTATCTTCACCTTAGAAGGGAGGAATTTCAGCTCTGAGAGTTAATTACAGGCACAAGGCCATGCATCTGGTAAATGTCAGTGCCCAGCTTTGACCCCAAGTGTCCTGCCCTCACAACCTGTATGCTTAGCCACATGTGATGGAATTTGAGAGTGTGGTCTTTAACCAACCAGTTGGAAGTGTATTCAAGTGCTAACAAAAAAATTGGTTGGTGATTATTTCCTCATTACAGCTACAGAAAGAACTCAATCGAAAGATCAACAAAAGTGACTAGGTATAAAAAACAAGAGTTTGTAAGACACGGGTCACAGTTCCAGGGCAAAGTAATAAAAACTACCAATTGTAGATTCTAGAATATAATATGCTAAGATATTTTTTAAGCAGTCAATATTTTGTGGCTACTTTTGAGTTAATAAAACCCTCCTGTTTTTCCTTTTTTCAACCCCCCGCCTCACTCCCCCGCAATGCACACACCTCCCGAGAGGCTGGGACACAGAGCACGGGCCATATAGTTCTATGTACACCTGACATGCTTTCCATGACTTCATCTTCATAAACATCACACTGACACTGAGGACTACTTTTAATAATGTGGAAAAACTCACTAATTCTGTGAAACCTCATCATAAAAAATAATTACTAGGGCCTTGTCCCCCCTTCTTTTCTTCCCCTATGCCTTTCATGATCACCTTCCAAACCTGTCTCAACCTGAAATAAAAATGGACCAACACCATCAGCATTAAACCCACGGAGACAAGGCCATTAAAAATAAAGTTATTCCATAACATCAGAGGTCAAAAGAAAAATGTGACAGTTACCCACAATCCTTCTAGCATGATTTACTTTCAATTTCTCTACATTTGCCATGTCCTTGGGCTGTATCTATACTATCAGCCACACCAGCTGGGAGAAGGACCCATCAGACATTTTCCATCCGTCTGACCACCACAACAGACCAACCATGCTCCCAGTGCAGCAGATCTTACTGAAATGAGCAGTTAAAAAGAGGTCCACAAAGCTGCTTGATTCCCTGTGGAGATATGGCCATAATCTCACGGCCACTACTCATCCATCAAGCATTCGTATGGCTTCCAGTGTGAAGTCTGTTCCTCCTACTTGCATATCCTGTTGGCACTTTCTGAATCATGCTCTAGGGCAAGCGGAAAGGGAGTTTCACAGGAGCTCAGAAAGGGACACAGTTACTTCACTCTTACTAACTAAAGTTGTTTATGGAATTTCCTTTAACGAGCCAAAACTTTATGACTTGTGGAGTACTGACAATAAAGGCACTGGGAGATCAATCTCTCCCTTATTTGCTTTTCGTCTTTCACTGGACCGGAGCATCTTAGAAAAACAAGTTGCTCCAGTGACTGAGATTTATGTGTCTCAAGTTTATACACATCGCATAATTAGATAAGGTTCAACTTGCAAGGTGCTTTTTGGTCAGGCTTAAAATGGCCCTAGGGTTTTGATTAAAATCAGAAACCCTGACTTTGGCAGGAAGAAGGACTGTGGGGTCAAGCCAGCCTTCCCACATCAAACACAATGAGTCTCTGAACCTGGACACAGACCCACTGAGTCCCACCTGTTACTCAGTTCATCGTAGTCAACAAAAGCAACTCGTGGCAACTGACGTGAGGACTGCAAAGAAAGCACAGGTTGCTTTTATTTTTTCACGTCAGAATGTTTGAGGAAAAACTCTGCATGTTACTGACAGATTCTTGCACCTCAATTTCACTAAGCGTCAAAATCTGAAAACACACAGTGGGAGGAGAAGATCGGCAAGGACAAAAATTGGCCAGTGACTGATCATCGCAATGTGAAAACAGCACATTCAAAAAACTTGTAAGAAAAAAAGGGCATTGCTGTTTTCTCAACTTCTATTCTGAAAAGACTACTTTCAGTTAAAAAATTAAACTCACAGTTCACAAAAATCCAATTGGGAAACATTTCTTCCAATTTTTTATGTCTTAAAGTGCAAAAACCCAGTAGTATGTCAATTTAAGGGAAAAATGCATTTGCAAGTTTATGTATTTTTTTATTTTTCCTTGAAGCTGGCATTAATATGTTTCCAAGAATAAATATATGTGAATTCACTTGGGAAATACAGAGTTTTATACCAATTTGGAAAATTGAAGGCTGCTGTTCTTTAAACACGCTGACTATTTTTACTCTCTTTTCCTCTTGCTTTTACAAGAGCAAGCAGAAAACACAAAATTGTCATTGTGCTATTCTCGGCATCCTTGCTACCCTTAACACATTCTTTTGTCTTCAACTACATTAAGACCATGTTATTAATATTTCAGGATTCTTAGAAAGGCGCTCACAAAATATAGTAGTGGCTTTTCACACACACAGCCATTTTGCTGCCTACAGTCAGAATGACCTACTAAATTGATGGTTCAGTACATTTCTTTGCTCTGTGTGGTGCACAGCCTTCCGGCATTTGGTACATAAATATGGAAGTACATTCTGCATTTATTCACTACTTTCTTATCTCTTAAGATTTTCACTATCTTTTTCATCTTAAACAAAACCTCTATGAAAGATGTACTAGGCATTATAAGCATTGACACGTGCTATTATTTTCCATCATTCTCTTTTAGGTGAAAACTGTTACATTGTATGTTTTAATCCAAATGGCTGTGTAAGCAAGAAACATCTTTCTCCTGTCCTGTCTCCAGTGATGCTTCACTAGTTGAGGGACCATATGAATGGGCCCCTTACTTGGCCTTCTGAATATGCCATTAGTTCACATGGGCAATACAAACTTTGCATTCAATTCCTTTAGTTTTGCTTTAATTACTTCTTTCTGCTGACCTTAAATAAGAGAAAAAGATAGAGGACAAAAAGAAGGAGGAAGAAAAACTCTTTTTTTTCATTGGCTTACCCACTACCACAATAAGATTACATTTTAAGATAGTCTTCAGTAAAATTTCTTTGTGGAATACTTAGATATTATTACTTTTGGCTAAAAACAAAAACATTTTTAAAGGTGACATAGTATCTTCTGGATTTTTTTGCGTGCATAGATATGTGTACATGAGGCTGTAATGCCCAATTTAATGACTTGACTACAACTACTCTTTGAAAAATAGTTTATACAGACGGTTTTGGTCAGTTTTCTCTTTTTTAAGAAACACAGCATTATTGATAGTATTTGATAATCTATTTAAAAAAAATTTTTAATTGATTTTATTTTAAAGACGTGGGGTACAAATCAGGATTAGGTATACAAGTGGTCAATGTACATGTAAAGTTTGGGCCTACCTTTGGTCTCCACTTTGCTTGGTTTGAGATCGGGAACCCTTATTAATGTTATATGCCCCTCCCCCAGCAGTTTTTAACTAATTTAGTTTGTAAAAGTAGATAATAATTGCAGTTACCATGACAAATATCAAGCATTAATTGCGGTCACATACATTATTTCATTTAATTGTTGCGATAATTTTGTGGGCTTGAGGCCCTATACTATTCCTGTTTTGCCCATCTTCTTGCTGTCTTCATCATCCATAAAGGCAGCTAGTCACACTTTGCTATCTGTGATCCACTTTCCAGTTCAAGACCCTCCAAAGTGACACTGTCCATTAAAGTAACTACTGATCCCATGTGGCTACTGAGCACTTAAAATGTGGCTTATCAATGATGACTGACTGGAAGTATAAAATACACGCCAGATTTTAAAGACTTAGTACTCAAAACGTGAAACATATCATGAATAATTACGTGTTGAAAATTATATTTTGAACATAGAGTTAACTTACGTCATTAAATTTCATCTTTTTAAAAATTAATTTTAAATGTGACCACTAGAAAAAGTTAAAATTACCTAAATGGCTTGTATTAGTATTAAGTCTTGCATGTATGATCTCGTGTGCACACACGAGCTCTTGCAAATTCAGGGCACTGAAAGCAAAGAGAAATGAATCACAATCACCCTAGGACCTTTTCTCAAAACCTACCCTGAGCCTACCACAGAGAATCTCATTCGCTTCTTGAAGTACTGTTGGCCCTCTCAGCCAACCAGCTAATTTAAAAAAATTTAATTTGGGCAAAAGTACTAACATATAGGCATTAATAGGAGTTAAAAATTACCTTCCCAGGTAACAACTTTGCATTTTAATATGGAGTATTCTGAAGGTCAAAAAATTCCAACAGTGACTCTCCAGGAGGAATTTGACCCATTTATGCAAAATGGTTCCCATGAACTATTTGGTAAAGGGGTGACTTATAGGTTTCTCCAACTTTATCTTGTGGGTGTAATATTAGGCACATATTTCCAAACAATTTCATTGAGAAAACTTGACTTTTGTATCCTGAATACATAGTACATCCAGTATGCTTAGACATTTATTTTCTAAATATCAGTCACTTATTGACCATTATTGAATTAGTTCTCTGATTAATTGCTTGGTTGTTGGACTATTTATTATATAAATTATATAAGAAAAAAATATACATCAATGAGGGTACCCTTTTGAAGTTTTTGTAAAAATTCAAAGCCCTAGCCATCTTTGGGGAAGGTGTAAACATTAACCAATAGACTTCCCATCATACAGACGGGTATAATAAGGCATAGAGGTAAAGGATTTGCTCAAGGCAGGGCTGATTTTCTAATCCAGGAAATGTGGCTTAAGCTAATATGCTATAGACTTC